GTTTCAAAATTTCAAAAATTTTCAAGACTCGGGGGCTGTTTTGACATAACCATATTTGTTTCAAACATAATGGATCAGTTCTATAAATTACCAAGTTCCATGGTAGTCAAAAATTGAGTAAAATTATAGGGATCAAAATAAAATTACTTAAAACTAAGGGGGAGGTTTCCATAATTTCAAAACTTTATCTTCTTCAACCTTATGTTCAAGAAGATTTTGGTCTGTACTTTTCTTTCTTCCCTTTCTCAATCTCTTCTTAACACAAATACCACCCTATTATATATTTGAATTCACCTATTTTAATCTTATAAACCTACCCATATGGATTACTTGCAATATTATATCAAACTACAACCTTGTATATGTATACATATAATGATTAAATACAAAATTAAATTTTAAATTGAAAACTAACCTTGATGATCAAATCTTCTTGTTTTCTTCTTTTTTCTCTAAATCCCCTTCTTTCTTTCTCTTCTTTTTTTCTTTACTCAAAACCCTAGCGTCTCCTCTCCTTTCTCTTATTCTAATATGTGTGTATATGTTGGGAAGAGAATATATATATTTATATATCATTAGACTTCTAAGTCAATAAGAGAACTCATTTTAATCACACTTTTGTCCCCTTTTTTTTTTTATTATTACTACTATTCTTATTTTATAGTTACCCTTGGTACCCAATACCCTAAATAAATAAATAAATATATATATATATATATATATTATAGTTTAACCATAAGGCATCTACGTACAACAAATTCTAAATTTCTAAATAATTTGCTATCTTTTTATTTATCTATTTATTTATTAGATAGGTCCAAAAGTATACTTGTATTGGGCATTAGACTAACTATATAATGTATGCCAACTCAACATTTAGGGCACACCTCTAAAACTTATACACCTCCCCTTATACACACACACATTCTCTCTCTCCCTCTCTAAGTACAATAAAACTCTTGAAGAATACTCTCTCCGGCGATTTCATCTATTAATAAAAGACTCAGGCCACCGCTATCGTTTACAAGAGTGGAATAGGTCACTCAAACCGAACTACTATAAATCTCTGTGTTAGTTCTTTATTTACTGTTTTATCATTAATAACTTGTTTATTGCACATTGACTGCACCCATTCATATTTTTGACTGTTGATTTTGCACAACACCGATTTGTGCATCATCACTACGTAATATCTTTCAATCTATTTTTTTCATTAAGATTAATTTCTTTCCATCATTTCATTTTTTATTCCAAAATTGAAAAAATCATTACACCAACTAGCTGACAATCCCAAAAAAAAAAAATGAGTGAATGAATGAGATATAACAACACAATGGAGATGTTGAAAAAATTTGTTGAGTAAAATATTATAATAGAGTTACTTTTCTCTCTCACCAAGTGGTCCAACAAGCAGACATTGGGATAGAAGAGTGAGGTTGTTATATACAACATATCTAACTGCAACAAGAACATTACATTAGAATGTGTAGGGTCTAAAAGGCTAATTATAAGTAATATAAATGAGCTGATGATGAATTCCCAAAGAGATAGAGAGAGAGAGAGAGAGGAAACAAAAGGATCGTGGATGTTATAGTTACAAGAGTGATTTTATTGTTGGTAACAAAAGTGGGTTTACAAAGTTGTAACAGTTTTTTTTTTGTTCATGTATGTTATTATTTTACAGTATTATATATATATATAGAGAGAGAGAGACACACACACACACACACACATACACAAATAATACATGGAACTATGGTTTATGTGGAAAATAAAGTATATGAATAATCATTTGAATATTTATTGGTATTGAATAATTAAATACATAATGATATAACTGCATTTAATCTTTTCTGTAAGGACATTATAGTCTGTGAGATCCCATATTTTATATAAATATAAATTATATTAACTTGTTAGTATTTTCAAAATGATTAAAATGATGAGAGCAACTTTGAATCGTTGTTAAAGGTATAGTCGCGCAAGTTTGAGTTACGAGCATAGACTTTCGGGTCAAATTTAATTTTTGAGGTGTTTAAGGTTGACAGAAGTAACTAAGTAAAATTATTAATAAACTAAGTAAAATTATTATTATTTTTAGATCAAAATAACATTACCATTGAATATTGGAGGATAAGAAACCATAGGATAAACGTTTACCTCATATAGGAATTCGAAGGGATAAAAAGGTAATTTCGGTGTTTTTGGGTGTAAATTGATTTTGATTTTGAGATAAATCATAAAAGTAAATGTTTTTAGGTTAAAATAACATTAAAAATGAATCTGAAACGTCGAAAAACCTTAAGATAATCATAGAGATCGAATTGGATATGTTTAGGGGCAACATTGTTATTTTTGACAACATGTATTTTTTGGCATGAACAATGTTTTTTGACGGGAATTGCTAGATTTAAAACCCCAAACTCAGCCTATTTCTCTCATTTTTCTCACATCTCTCACCCAAAACTCCTCCACCCACCTTAGAAGTAGAGAAAGAAAGAGAGAGGAAGAGAGAGGAAGGACTCTAGGGCTTGGGCTTGGCTTGAAAATCTTGAAGATTAAGTTTAAAATTTTTGATTCTTAAGTGGGGTTTTCATCTCTCTTATATTTACATTGTGCATCTCATGTATTTTCTTTAACTAAAGCTTACTATGAGTTTGATAACAAAATACTTGTTTGGCATAGGTTCCATTGTTTGGTAGGAACAGGAGAATGAGACTTAGAGAAAGTTTCTCTAAGCATTTTCATCGAATTCTATTATCCTTTTTCTACCGCAATTTCAATGTCAAATTATTGAATGAAATTATATTCTATTTTTTTCTCTTGGATTAAATCTGACAAGTAACAAATGTAACGTGCGAATTAGCAAAAATTGAATAAGGAAAGCTCAAAGTCGGATAAGTAGACCATTAAAAAGCAAGAAAAGTCAAAGAAAGCTACTAAAGTCTCTAATCCCTAGTCCAAAGAAACTTCAATGACAGTGATTAATCAAATCAATAAATTAAGTTAGCATTTTAAATCTAAATAACATTGTTCGTTAAAGAATTTAGATTAAGTAGAAGACTATGGTCCAACCTATGCTCTTCATTTTCTCAACCCTTCTTGGGAGATCAACATGTTTCCCTTCACCATGAAGGAGAAGATTATGGTACTAAACAAAAAAAAAAATCAGTCCAGTATTGCTATTAAAAATTTTGTAATTTTTTTTATAATTTTTTGAAATCATTTATAACTTTTGTGGTAATTTGAGATATTTTTTTAAATTATTAGGATTGACTCGAAGTTATCACAAAAAATTATAAATTATTTTTGGTAGATCGAAACTTAAAAGTTGTGATATCACTCAAAAATTTGGAAAATTTTTATTATGAGTAAACACAAAAACATGCATATATAAATCTTAGGGGTATGTTTTTTGTGTTTCGATAGTGTAGTCCACTTTCCTAGGGGTTGTTTGGTAAGAGGGTATGGAGGGACATCGCATGATAAGTTTGGGGAAAATAATTCAAAAGACTTCCAAATCTCATGTTGGTATGGAAAATTTAGTCTCGGGTTTTCAAACCCAACTCATAGCTGGCCCGAAGATTAAACTCATGATCATGAGTTTCGTCAAACCTATGGGAATGGTGGATTTGGGAAGATAGGTAAGGAGTTAAGAATTCAAAAGACAATTGTACCCCTTAACATGATTGTAAATTGGATTGATCAAGGGTAAAATAGTCATTTATAGGATAAATAGTTGTTAATAATTATGATATATTTATGAGTCCTACATGTATATTATTGCACATCAATATAGGTATAAATCGAATTGAATGTTGAATTCCATATTTGTAACGAAGGGTTTGAGTTTGGAACGTTTTAAAGAAACCAATTCAAACCCCTCTAAAAAATTCATCCAAACAAGCCCTAGGAATATCTATGAGCCGGGCCGAGCTAGGCCTACAAAATTTTTTTTTGGCGGGGCTTGGGTAATGTAGGCCCAAGCTTTTACCCAAGTGAGTTATCGGGTAAACCGAACTTAGAGTAGGGATAAGTTACCCGCAGTCCAACCCGCGAGTGGACTTTTTTATATACAACTTTATTTTAAAATAATAAATATTTTTGTAATTTAATATTTATGTAATTTATATTTTTGAATCAAAAGTAGAGTCAAAATAGATAAAAAAAATAATAATAAATAATTTTATTTGTAATGAACTACATCCATGAGAATGAAGACATCTCAAATAAATTGATATCTACTCACTTATTTATCATTTGTTTTATTCTACTCTTTAAAATTTGTATGCTTAATACATGAAAAAATATATATATTATTTAGAGTATCTAAATTTTTAAAATTTTAAATTTTAATATTGAAAAACTTTTTTTAAATTTTCAAATTTAATAGTTTAAAATTATAATTTTTTTCCAAAGGATGAGTGGACTTGGTTGGTGGGCTCTTGGACTAAGTTTTAACAGGTTATTTTGAAAGGGTTATTGGGCCAAGTTTGGGCCGGATAATAAATTTGAAGCCGAATCCAAACCTTATTTTTAAAGATATTGGATTCAAACTTAGTAAGAATAATAATCGACCCATTTGAGTTTCGACTTATTTNCGAATCCAAACCTTATTTTTAAAGATATTGGATTCAAACTTAGTAAGAATAATAATCGACCCATTTGAGTTTCGACTTATTTTTTTGGGTTGAATAACGGACCGTGAATAACCGGCCTATGAACACCCCTGCACTTCCCTTCTTCACCTAGACAATAACAACCGCCAAATCACCTAACGGCTTTGGATACAAAAACCCAAATTCGCAAGCCAGTCAACGGTTTCTTCACAAAGAAAAAATTTACAGAGAAAAAAGAAAAAGAGTGAGACCAGTTTCCGATTCTCTTTCATTGGGAAACTTCCGTGGTTCTCTTTCAAAGACCATAGTTTATTTGTTGAATTGATATCCGGGTCTCAAAAAGTCAGAAATTGTTGATGATTTTTGGTGGGTATTATTGGGATGGTGAACAATCATCAAGAAGACGGGGACAAGAACAACCACCAATCAGCCATTGCAATAGGTGGAGGAGCTGCCAGGACATGGGGTACCACTGCCTCGGGCCAATCGGTTTCGACTAGCGGCAGTGTTGGGTCCCCATCGAGTCGTAGCGAGGCGGCTAATGCAACAACGGTAAGTGAGAGCACCTTTCAGAGGCTAAACCACCTCGACATTCAAGGGGACGATGCCGGATCTCAAAGGGATGCTGGGTGAGTTTTTTTAGCTCTTTCTTCTTGTTGAAATCATAACGGGCGTCTGGTTAATGGTGTATTTGTTATGGGTTTTGGATTAGCATATTGAAATTTTAGGCATTGTGCTTTATTTTTGGATTAATTTCATTATATCTCTTGTATGACAATATAGGAAGATTCATGAACCGTGTTTTGATGATGATGTCTGAATTTTGGAAGTGGGTCCCAGTCTACTCTTATGGTTGAATTTGGCGCACACGCAGCTGCCTTGGCTTCTTGTTAATAGTCTGTAGTTGAATTTCTCATGCTATGGCTATCTTTCCATCTTGTGTCTTTTGTGATTATGTTTTCCTGTGTTCAGCCACAATGTTCACAATTGCGATGTTTTAAACTTCTAATAGTATTTTGTAATACTCATTGCTTGCTNTGTGATTATGTTTTCCTGTGTTCAGCCACAATGTTCACAATTGCGATGTTTTAAACTTCTAATAGTATTTTGTAATACTCATTGCTTGCTAATAGCTATTGGTCTCTATAAATCCGGCAATGGTACATGATCATTAGTTCTGAAACAGTAACAAGAAGAAAAAAAGAGGTCAACGTGCAGTAGGAGGGGATAAGAGTGGTAGAGGACTCCGCCAGTTTAGCATGAAAGGTGTGTGTGCATTATTGTCTTTCTTTCTTTATATTGTCTTACCCANGCATGAAAGGTGTGTGTGCATTATTGTCTTTCTTTCTTTATATTGTCTTACCCATCTGTAAGACTGTTTTGTTTTATCTCTGCAACATTATATTGTGGTTATGTTGAGATGACATATGGTATGGAGGTTGAATTGCATTTTCTCGATTGTTTTTTATTGTGAGAACAGTTGTTTTATGCTGGTACCATGCAACTGATTTTTTTTTTTTTTTGGGTGAGTCATGTAACTAATGTTTCGGTAACAGTTTTGTTACCAACTCATCGTGTATTTGCCTCTTGTTGTGTCTAGTGTGTGAGAAAGTGGAAAGCAAGGGAAGAACAACTTACAATGAGGTCAGTTTGTTTATTCGGATCGGTAATCTAATGATCTTCGTGTTTTAGTTGAATTTTCTGATCTTTCTTCTTTGTGCTCTCTTTGCATAAACTGAATGACCTGTCACCTATTTATTCTCCGTGGGATGCTTTTGGTTTTCTCCTTGAATTAATTGTGTTGACGTTATGTATTGTCTGGTGGTACTTAAAAGTGCTGCAAAACCTAGTATGCAGTAATACATTCTGAACTTAGAATGCTTGGTTTTTGGCCATGTTCATCCAACTAAGCTAGAAACTCTTAGTGAATATTTGCTTGAAGGCAGGCAGATCAAATGTAGACAAAATCCTAAGAACTTTAATTCTTGACAGAAAGTTTAGAAGTTTTAGTTTGAAGGTTTTGCTATAACAAACCTTGTTGATGAAGCCTGGTAATTCTTCATTATTGATCCTGTTTGAAGGTTTTATTTTTTTTTTATTTTTTAGATTATGGCTGTAATTAAATATAAAACTACTGNTGATGAAGCCTGGTAATTCTTCATTATTGATCCTGTTTGAAGGTTTTATTTTTTTTTATTTTTTAGGTTATGGCTGTAATTAAATATAAAACTACTGCCTTTCCACGTCAACTCTAGTTGGTTAAGGTCTATAAATATACACAGGTAGGCTATCTATGGAATGTTGGCGTTATGTTGTTCTACTTGTTTTTCATTGTTCTATCAAAAAAAAAAGTCACATTTAGTTGTACAAATGTCGCAACTGAATCCTGACCTCTTTAATCTTTGTGTTGAAGTTGACCACATTTTTCTATATGTTGATGGGAGTTTCCAAAAAGAGTGACCTCTTATCGCCTCTTCGGTTTTTCGGCATTTATTTATGTTGCATCATATCCACCATATACAAGGGCTTATTGGTTTGGAGCTTCTAATTAAGTTTTTGACTATTTTCCTTGGACGTAAAAGTATATAAAGTCACTTGCTGGATAAAAAAAAGATGTATAAAGTTAGAATTTAAACAGGTGGAACTGCTTTTTGTTTGTTTTTGTGATCTTCTTCAGTATCCATGAGCATCAACCCTAATTTGTGAAGACTTCTTCATACAATATTCGTGCTTCATGTTGATACTTAGTCTTTGAAATAACAACGATCTTAATCTCTTCTATACTTTGGCAATTCTTATCATGACGCAATGCCTTAATCTGAGGAAGTTTTTCATTTTCCAGGTTGCAGATGAACTTGTAGCTGAATTTGCAGATCCTAGCAGTAGTCTTGCATCTCCAGACCAGGTTTGTCACTCTCCAGTCATGGCGATGAAAACATTGTTAACTCTCCATTACTTGTCTGTTAGTGAAAAGGTTCACTGTAGAACTTAGTGATTCCGGCTNCTCCATTACTTGTGTCTGTTAGTGAAAAGGTTCACTGTTAAACTTAGTGATTCAAGCGTTTCATTTCTGTTTGAACCATTTATGACAGCAACAATATGATGAGAAAAACATTCGGCGTAGGGTATATGATGCCCTCAATGTTCTCATGGCAATGGATATAATTTCTAAAGATAAAAAGGAAATACAGTGGAAGGGTCTGCCTCGAACCAGCATAAATGATGTTAAAGAGCTAAAGGTTCAAGTTTCTTGGTTCTTGTTTTTCCTTTTTTATTTTATAATTACGAATCTTAGGTTTTGCATTTTCAATGGCAACTGTTATAGATCTAGTATGAGCTAATCCAACCTTCTGTTATTTTAATCATTACAGAGTGAGCGTCTTGGACTGAAAAATAGAATTGAAAAGAAAGCAGCTTATTTGCAAGAACTGGAGGAACAAGTAAGAATTATAAATTTATTTGGTACCTCTGGAGTCTAGTATTTGTGAATTGCTTACATTGTTTCTATTTGGAATAAACTTGTTTTGTTGCAGCAGAATATGTTTCATGATCAGTTTTTGCTAACTCTATCTTTCCTTCCACCAAGTACATAGGTCTTCAGAACCTCATGCAACGGAATGAGCAATTATACAGTTCAGGAAATGCTCCTAGCGGGGGCGTGGCTTTACCTTTTATACTGGTGCAGGCAAGTTCTTTATTTGTGTTATACTTCCTTCTGTGTTGACAATTTGTTGGCAAAGTTGCTACATTTTCCTCTTTTTGTTGTTTTCCCTTCCCTCCCCTACTTACCCCCCCCCCCCATATCTTCTCTGGTTGGAGCAGAGATGATAGTTTCCAAACTTTAGACAGATTCTACCTGAGGTGGCACTGGGTTTTGTTTAGTGTCATGGCCCTCCTAGATTACAATTGATGAGTCATATGTCATGAAAACACATTGATGAACAGCACTCGTGAACCACCGTTATGGATAATAGTGACACCACGTCTTATGAAGTCTTGAGAAGGTATTTTCCATCACATGATCATAACATGTTTTTGAAGGAATGATTATTTTGACAAGCCTTTAATACGAGCAGTCTTGGTGAAAATTGTTAACTTTGATCAATCAAAGAAAAGTAAGAGAAAGAAATAAGAGAATATTATTGAGGCACAATTAGCCAGAATAAAGCTTAAAAGAAAACTACATATAAGAGGTCTTTATATAGTAAACTAAGTTAGGGCAACATAAAAGAAAACAAATGACTAAACTGCCCCTAAGTCTAAATATAATAACTATTCTAACACCTTCCCTCAAACTCATGATGTGACAACATTAAACATCAAGAGTTTGCTAAGAAGAAAATGGAAGCGTGCGATAGTGTGAGATTTCGTAAAGAAACAATCAGCAAGTAGCCAATACAATCAAACTATCTCTGCTGTTATGAATGTCATAGCATGATACTCAACTTCAGTAGATGATCGAGCCACAACAGTTTGTTAATTACTTTTCCACGAAAAAAGACAATCACCAATGAAGAGACAGGAACAAGTAGTGGCCTTGCGATCCATAGAGTCACCAGCCCAATCCGCATCAGAGTAAGCACGAAGTTATAGAGACGATCAAATAGCAATGAGAGGTCCAACAGAAAACCATAGCTCAACAAAAACCACCAGCAACAATGCTCAACAAAACAAATCCCAACAAAGAAAAATAACAAACAAACCAGAACTAGTCCCAAACCAGCAGTAGTCAAAATCAGAAACTAGAACCAAAAAAAGTAGCCAACGCCAAACAATCTAAAGTTTGCCACAAATCAACTTAACAACTTTGCAAATCAAATACTCACTCAGCAGTTCGTTCACAAAATCCGCCCCAAAGGCTCAAACCCACCAATCAAAAGTTTTCAGCTTATTCAGTGCGAAACAATGCAAATGAAAATAAAAATTTCCTGCTTATTCAATGCGAAACAATACAAATGGAAACAAAAGTTTCCTGCTTATTCAGTGCAAAATAATGCAACGCTATGTCAAATAGCAAGCCCAAACGAACAAATCAAAAACCAGCAACGTGACAACTCACCAATGCACAAAACCAACTAATCAACAAACCAGTCCAAAAGCCCAAAGCAACAGCAGCAAACGAAGAAGAAACAACCAGACTAGCAACCAGAAGAAGCAGAAGAAGAATAAGAAGAATCACCAGCAAAAGAGAAAAGGCAGCAGCAAGTCAACAAAAATAGCAATCCAAACAGCAGATCCCAATGTACCAACTTCACAAACCAAAAACCAACGAAGAAGCAGACGCTCAATAGGCCTTAATACAAGTATCTCGAGCCAATAAATCAAATCAGCAATCCAGCAACTAGACAACCCAAATTCCATAACTTTCAAAAGTTCAGAAGACAAAAAGAGGCAACAAAACAGCAAGACAGTAGCAAAATACCAAAAAGGCATTAAAAATCGAAATTCGGCACTTTTCATAGCATGAACAGTAACGTCGGTGCTGTTCACAGCGCGCAAACAGTACTTTCGGCATTGTTCATCCAGTGAATAGTGTTTTCGTCACTGTCCACAGCCCTTGGAATCACAAAAAAATAGCAATCCACCAATCACTAGTTCTCAAATCACACAACTCAAGAATATATTCTTCCTCCAACTAAATTACTGTAGTGCTACAATATAAATTTTGGATTGAAACTATGCTCTGATACCATGTTAACTTTGATCAATCAAAGAAAAGTAAGAGGAAGAAATAAGAGAATATTATTGAGGCACAATTAGCCAGAACAAAGTTTAAAAGAAAACTACATATAAGAGGTCTTTATATAGTAAACTAAGTTAGGGCAACATAAAAGAAAACAAATGATTAAACTATCCCTAAATCTAAATATAATAACTATTCTAACAAAAATATGCAATTTTAAGTTCAGTTGGTAAGAAAATATTTGAACTTTTAGCAAATATTCCTGTTGCATTCATAGTAAGTTTTCTCATCCTTTCTGGCATTTGGAAACTGCAGACTCGTCCTCATGCAACTGTTGAGGTGGAAATATCCGAAGATATGCAACTGGTGCATTTTGACTTTAATAGGTATGGAACCTTATACCATATTTTGTGTGTTCATATTCTGGCTGTCGGGATAGTGGCGTTTTCAGCTTTCATTTTACGTGAACAATTATGCTCATGACATGTTTTTGTAACTTGTGTGATCTAAAATGGAGTAATTTAATGATTGTTTTCTGATGATGGAAAATGACGTGGTTGGTAACGGGATAGTGGTTTTCATATACCAGCAATCTTGAGTCATTTACCTTGTAAGATTTGAGTGATTCCCCTTAGCTGACAATTCGCCAAGCATGTTAAAATATTTCTGAAGTGATATTTTTTTTAACCTTCTCTTTCTCAGTTCATTTATATTGTAATTTAATGCAGCACTCCATTTGAGCTACATGATGACAATTATGTGCTCAAGGCAATGAAATTTTGTGAAAGACCACAGGGTGATGATATGGCACACAATTTCTCAGCAGACGGGGGGGAAGGCTCCAGCATGCCTGACATTTTTCATCCTGAAATTCCTATTCCTTCGATATCTAGCATACCAGTTAGTACTCCCACCTCGCCTCCCCTTCCTGGAATCATTAAGGCACGTGTTAAGCACGAGCATTAGTCTACAATATAGTCAAATTCTTATCATCTTAGCATTGGGAATATATTGTCGAATGTCGATGTATATTGTGTAAAATATTTTGCCGGAATTGGGTGGGCTCCCTGTTTTTGAACGCCTCAGTTGCGTGCCCAGTTATATGGCTTGGTTTAACGAGTAGACCTTTCTTTTTTCCTTCAAAACGTTTAAGGGGTTCTGCTTCCAACAAGTTCTCTGTTTCACATATTCCTGATAGGCTATTCTACTTGTTCTATCATGATTTTTCCCCTTCTTTGTCCCATGATGTAGTTGAATGGAGTTCATTTGTAATGAATTATAGAAGATTGTCTAGCTACATACAGAAGTATGATATTTATTTAAATATTAGGTTGTATGTGTTGCATTTGTATCTTGTGTATGCGTTTTTGTCCTGTTTTCCTTCTGGGTCCAAACGAAAAGTCACTTGCACTCTTCTTCAAGGGCCGCTCCCATCACTGCGAGATTTGAGAGTATTAGATGTACATAGTCTAGGGTGGTACAAACTTTCGAATAAATTCTACTCTTCAGTGACCCAGGTGCAGGTTCAGGGCCAATTGTTTCTGAAAATGTCGTAGTTTGTGTATTGAGCTTTACTCACAATGGTATTTGGAACTAGTGTGGTAGAGTTGCTAAACTATCAATTCGATTTGATTGACTCATTGTAGTTTAATCAGAACGTTAATTAATCAAATTTGATTTGACTTAGACTTCTAATTTCGTTTTGAAAAATCAAATCCAATTAACATTGGTTCGAACTGTTTTTGGTTTTTTATTTTGCTAGTGAAAAAAGGTGTGGAAGCAAAGGAAAGTGTTCAAAAATCATTTCGATAGGGCCTCACTGATGGAATCATGAGGTCTCTGACTAGAGGTATTCATTGGCTTGGCCGGGCTGGGTTAGGACCGCAAAATTTTTTTTGGACGGGGCCTGGATAGTGTATGCCTAAATCCTTATCCAAGTGGATTATCGGGCAGACTGGGCTGAGCTTCGAGTAGGAATGGGTTATCTACAACCCAACTCATGAGCTTATTGGGCGAACATGTGAGCAGACTTGTTGGGGTGGGCTTGCGCGTGGACCTTTTTTATATACATATTTATTTAAAAATAATAAATATTTTTGTAACTTAATATTTTTTATAAATTATATGTTTGAATCAAAAATAAAGTCAAAATGGATAAAAATAAATAATGAATAATTTTATTTTTGATTAGAAGATGAATTATATTCAATAGAATGAATAAATTTCAACTAAGTTGACATCTACTAACTTATCTATCATTTACATTACTCCACCCTTTAAAACTTGTATGTTTAATACCTGAAAAAAGAAAATAATACATTATTTATAATATCTAAATTTTTAAAACTTCAAATTCTGATATTAGGAGACTTCTTTCAAAATTTCAAATTTAATGGTCTAAAAGTATAATTGTTTTTCAAATGAAAGGTGGGCGGGTTCTTGGGTTGGGCTTTGAGTCAGGTAATGGGTTTAGAGGCAAACTTAAATGTTCTTTTTAAGGATATTGGGTTCGAGCGGACTAACTATCGGGTCTATTGAATTTCGTGTCCATTTTTTTTGCCAGGTAACGGGACCCGTGGGTAACCCCACTCATAGACACCACTGTCTCTGACTGCATTCATTACTCTTTTGGGGAACAGATCTATTCTTAAATAATTTCAGACCGCATATAAATTTTTTTTTATCTTACTAATCTATGTCTATACTATTTATAAAAAGTAACTTAAGATAAATGAATTGAATTGAGGAGTGACAACCTTCTCAATGTGTGTGTGTCATTCAAAGTAAATATATTCTAGAGGTTAGGAATTTACATACAAAAATCAAATTGAAAAGGGATTAGGATTTTGTGTTTTGAATTGATTTGTGGGAAGGGCTGGATGGCAATTTGAGAGAGAGAGAGAAAGAAAAATAAGGTAGGAGAAGAGAGAGAGAGGCATTACCTGTCTAAGGCCTAACGAGTAGCGAGAGAGAAAGTAGGCATCTCATTTTACCTTTAATGTTATAAATTGATTGCAATATGAACATTTTTCAATTTTTCATCATAAATTAAAATACGTGAATTATAAATGTTTTGGCCCATGAACTTGATGATGCATAAATCGGTATTGCACAAAATTAACAGTTAAAAATGTGTTTGAGTGCAATTAATAGGCAGTAAACATGCAATTAATGACAAAAGCAGTTAATTAGAGCAAACACTCAGATTTATAGTGGTTCGGTTTAGGTGACCTACTCCACTCTGAGAAACGACAGTGATGACATGAGATGTTTTATTGATGAATAATGTAACCAGGAGAGTAACTTCGGGTGTACTACAATGCTTGGGAGAGAGAGAGAGAGACAATGTATATAGAGAGATATGTGTGAAGTCTGAATGTCTTCTCTTTTATGCGAAGTGGGCTTTCATTATATAGGTTCAGTAAGATGGTGATGCAGTGACATGAGGGAGAGTGCTTCCACTATTTTGTTAAATACAATTATATTAGGATTAGGTCTCCGTGCGTATCCTGATATTCTCTTCTTATGCTCCTATTCAATTGGGAGGAGGATCCTGAATTGGGTTAAACTTGAGTTGGAGTAGGCTAGATTTGAGTTGAAGTGACAAAGTTAAGAGGGCGAAGGAGAAACAGGAGGCCAACCCTTGGGTGGCGCCCCCTTGCTCCCTCTTGGGCGTTGACTTTTTGATCTCCTTTTGGGCTTGCTAAGTTTGGGCTCATTTTTAGATACTGATTATTTGAGCATTTTTTAATTTATTTTTATTGGACTTGACTCAGTTACATTTGGACTCTTCAGAACTTATGTATAAATTCACAAACAGTGACGTCCTATATGGGTTGCACTTATACATAATAGATTTAGTCACTATTTAATTAACAAAACCTTATTTTCCATACATACTACATAAAACGATATCAAATTTATCGCAAACAACAATCTATAGTGATGGACATACTTAATTCTCATGTCTGAAGCACTTACAACTCTTGTGTTTCAATTTATGACAAAAAATTGAACGGGAGTCTGAGTGAGGTATACATTATTATTAATTCATAACATTAAAGATATAAATTAAAATATTTAATATTTGATGGTACAAATTAAAAATCAAAAGTATTTTTAGGATACAAAGATTAGCACTATTATTTTTACCTGCGAAGAGCCAGCTAGCTCTCTTTCTCTTCTCGCCTCCGCCTCGATCTTTTGGTCTAGGGTTTTGGATCAGACGAAAAAACCCTAGATTTCGCTTTTGCAGAGAACAAACAATGGGAGGAAAGTGCCCTCATAGAAGCGTAAAGAAGAGAAGATACTCTCACAAGACTTCTCGCCGCACCAAATTCCTCCTCAAAGATATCCTTTTTTTTTTCTTTCTTTGTATTTTCTCTTGCTTTCTCTTGAATTTTGTCTCCTTTTTCCATTAATTAGAGTGGGCTTCTTTGTTTTCTGTTCAATTTTCTGTTGTGATTGTATTTTCTTGACTGTTGGTCACGGGATGACGCTGTATATGAAGAGCTTCAGAAGCCGGAGTGTGATAAGAAGCTCTTGCCCGTAGATGAAGATCTTCCTGGGATGGGACAATATTATTGCGTACACTGCGAGTAATTCTTTGATTTTCAATTGATGAATTTAATTTACTTTTTTTTTTATGATTTGGGTTTTGTTTGAATCTTCTAATTTGCTTTGATTGGTACAGTCGGTACTTTGCAAATGTGGCGGTGAGGGATGAACATTTCAAGTCGAAAAGGCACAAGAAGCGGTATATATTTATTTTACTCTGTATTTAAATTTGGAAATTGGGTGAAGCATGTACTTCTGGCCTTGCACTGATGTATTATATGAGGGTTCTCTTCTGTCTGGTTTGTAAATGTTTAATGTCAAACTCTAAAAAATGTGATTGGAAGGGTGTGATTTTTCTAGCTTCAATTGTGTCAAATTAGCAATCCCAATAGAAAATGACATATATCAGATTTAGAATGCAACTTCATGATTAATTGGGTGAGGTATAGGAGTGACTTCTGTGTTTTATGTCAGCTCTTCATGGATATATAGCCATTTCTTTCGTTCCTTTTAAAGAACAAAATTAGAATTGCTGCTGAGTGCTTTGAGGAAGGTTTTATAAGATGTAATTGTAGTAATAGTTGCAGAATGGGCGGAGGAATAGGTGTTGTGCAATTGCTCTCATTAATCTCATTGGCCATTTGAGTCATTATTACCCAAATAAGCTGCTCTTGCTTCTTCGATGACTACTTATGGGGTCAGTAATACTAGTAACATTGAATGTGGTGGTAATGGTAGAGGTAATGAAAAGATCTTTTGCAGAAGCTCTGATGGTTAAAGGGTCAGGCACTTGGCAAATACTCGTTCTCCATTGTAGTTCAGATGGGATGAATACTAATTATTAATGGATTTTGGTAATCTCCTTGGCTAATTGTGCCAAAAAGCTCTTGCACTGTTGTGCAAACTTGGTCTTTCTACGGTGATAATTTTATATGTGGCATGGCCTAGATTTTTCCATGTAAAAGGTTGTGATTTTATATGTTAATCCGTTTCATATTCAATGTTTTATTCTTTAAATGTTGTTCATGGTTTTTTATCAGCAAAATTTTGTTCACTGTTCAGCTTGTTAAGTAAGAGCTGGATTTGTGCATATTTGGTTCACNTCGTTCTCCATTGTAGTTCAGATGGGATGAATACTAATTATTAATGGATTTTGGTAATCTCCTTGGCTAATTGTGCCAAAAAGCTCTTGCACTGTTGTGCAAACTTGATCTTTCTACGGTGATAATTTTATATGTGGCATGGCCTAGATTTTTCCATGTAAAAGGTTGCGATTTTATATGTTAATCCGTTTCATATTCAATGTTTTATTCTTTAAATGTTCATGGTTTTTTATCAGCAAAATTTTGTTCACTGTTCAGCTTGTTAAGTAAGAGCTGGATTTGTGCATATTTGGTTCAANGGTATATATTTATTTTACTCTGTATTTAAATTTGGAAATTGGGTGAAGCATGTACTTCTGGCCTTGCACTGATGTATTATATGAGGGTTCTCTTCTGTCTGGTTTGTAAATGTTTAATGTCAAACTCTAAAAAATGTGATTGGAAGGGTGTGATTTTTCTAGCTTCAATTGTGTCAAATTAGCAATCCCAATAGAAAATGACATATATCAGATTTAGAATGCAACTTCATGATTAATTGGGTGAGGTATAGGAGTGACTTCTGTGTTTTATGTCAGCTCTTCATGCATATATAGCCATTTCTTTCGTTCCTTTTAAAGAACAAAATTAGAATTGCTGATGAGTGCTTTGAGGAAGGTTTTATAAGATGTAATTGTAGTAATAGTTGCAGAATGGGCGGAGGAATAGGTGTTGTGCAATTGCTCTCATTAATCTCATTGGCCATTTGAGTCATTATTACCCAAATAAGCTGCTCTTGCTTCTTCGATGACTACTTATGGGGTCAGTAATACTAGTAACATTGAATGTGGTGGTAATGGTAGAGGTAATGAAAAGATCTTTTGCAGAAGCTCTGATGGTTAAAGGGTCAGGCACTTGGCAAATACTCGTTCTCCATTGTAGTTCAGATGGGATGAATACTAATTATTAATGGATTTTGGTAATCTCCTTGGCTAATTGTGCCAAAAAGCTCTTGCACTGTTGTGCAAACTTGGTCTTTCTACGGTGATAATTTTATATGTGGCATGGCCTAGATTTTTCCATGTAAAAGGTTGTGATTTTATATGTTAATCCGTTTCATATTCAATGTTTTATTCTTTAAAAGTTGTTCATGGTTTTTTATCAGCAAAATTTTGTTCACTGTTCAGCTTGTTAAGTAAGAGCTGGATTTGTGCATATTTGGTTCACTGCGTCCAAGGCTCCATGTGGGCAATATATTATCTTCACCTTCTTATTTGAACAACTGTAGATGGATACCTATTTACCTACTGTTCTTTATGAATAAATTCAGTTGGTATTCACTTGAAAAATAATATTGTTGATTGCAGTGTGAAGCAAATGATGGGGCCTGCACCACATACCCAACTTGATGCTGACCTAGCTGCTGGAATGGGTATGCCAGATAACGGCCCAAAGCTAATGTCAATGTGAGCTCCCCATTTTTAGTTCTATTAATTTCGTTAGCGGAGCTGCAGAACACTCTTTTGATACCTGAAAAGTTTGTAATTTGGAAATGTAAGAACTATCCGTTTTTCACAACCACTGTTCTGGTCAGATGTTATCTTGTGAAAGTAAGTATTGTGTCGGTAAAGGTTGTTCCGAGTCGGTAGTTTGGTTGGTCTGCTGATGTGCTGATCTGCTATGCATTAAGCGCAGTGTTCTTCAGAATAGTATAACTATAAAATTCCTCAGTTTCTGTGTAATCAGGTTACAGAGGATTCCTACCCTGGTTTTAGCGTGTAACAATTCTCAAATCATCTGTGCTTCACTACCAATTTGCTGATATCTAAACCACAAAACAATCTACGTCGTATTGTTCTTTACTCTTTTTGGGCTGTGGTAACTTTGCAAATTTTCACTCTAGCTAGTTTGTAGGTTTTTGTTGCAAAAACACTCTACTTGGCATCTTTTTTGCCCCTCTACCATCAACATATTATGGTCAACGTCTTTGAACTGTGTGCCTTTGGTAGCCACCTTTAATTAAAGATGGCTTATATGTACATGGACACGAATTAACTTATATGTTTATCAGTGTTCATCTTATACATGTTACGTCATATGATACTGCATTGTTGATTTTATGTCCTAAACTTTTGACTGCAATGGGAGTATCTTGATGTATTGAATCCCTTCCATGAATAAGCAAGTTCAGTCTCCCCTCGTGAGTTGGTTCTATCTCGTAAACTTGCTATGCAAGACATCGCCGCTTAAAGTTTGAGGTAGATATACATTATGCAGTTGTCTTTGTTAAAGAACCGTGCAAAACTAAACATAAATAATCCCACCAGTTCAAGGCCATGTTGATTATTGCATGTCTAGTCTTAATTTACTATCAATCCGGAAGGATTCATGATGTTTGAGGAGGCTGTGTATTGTCGACATAGTATTGTTGTATTTGTAAGGAACATTATGCAGAGTGCACCATTTTGTTGAGGGCAGCATCTGAAACCAAAAGTAAATGCCGCTTAAGCATATTGATCAAAGGTGACATATTTCAATATTAATGGTGTTCGATGATAAGTGACCTGTTACATATTTCTGACTCATAATTCAGACTATTGTAAATGGAATTTTCTCTTTTATGCCATGGTCTGGCTGACTGAAGGTTGTCATTTTTAGCATTGATGCTATGCTGGTTATTACTTGGTCATTTTTAGCATTTATACTGGTTTTAGAGTGAGTCGTCCTTGAGAACCAACCACTTCAAAGCAATTTGTCTTGCACAATTTATGTTTTGCCGGGTTTGTGTTAACTTACTTGTCAAAAGGGTTTGACGGATCAGGCTTTTTATGATTTGAACTCGTTAAAACTAACTCCATACTGGTTAATTTTGTATTGATTTTGGGCCGGGTCGCTGGTTGGGTTAAGACCCTAGTGGTCACCAACACCCTTTTAATTCTTAGCAACAAAGACATTAGGTAGGGCCTACCTACCCATACAAGGTAGCATCATGCACCTGTCATTTTCTAATTCCATATCCTCTTTTCCTCATGCGCCTCCACACCATGTGTTATCTTGATCTTAACCCAAAACACTCAGAAAGGTGTACCACCATGTACTCATTAAAGGTGTATGATAGCTCCCTTGTCCAGTCCTCTTTCTTGATTTACCATCTGGCCACTCTCATGTGCAGCCACCACGTGAACCCAAGTCAATAATGCTCAACTCAAACCCCCAACATACCCCCCCACCCCAACCAAACCCCACCACGCTATTTCTGATCACTATCCTCTTAAACGTCGAAGATAGCCAGACATGTCAAATTGAAAAGTTTATTCATAGATTGTGATGTATAATCTTGTCGGAAATCCTATATATTTGGACCAGGATCTATGGGCCAGAGGTGTTCAAATTTTAGATTAACCGCAATTTCTTATTTTACCCGACTTTATCCGACCTTATTGAACGGTCAAATTTTAGATTAACTGCGATTTTCTATTTTACCCAACTTTATCCGACCTTATTGAACGGATAGCTAAAAAAATCGGGTAAGAATACGGAAGAGTTTAGTCTTTCGATTAAATCTAGTAGGAATACGAAATAACCATTAATTTTCATATTCTTATCATACCCATATAAACTAAAAATCCTAATTCTCTAACCATATGGTTTAAATTTAAAATAATTGTTTTTGTATTTGTGCAACAATTATAATAGATTGATGCTTATATTTTCTTTATTGTAATTGTTGTTGTAATTATTTTACTTTTTAGTGTTTTTGATTTTTTGTGGTGATAAATTAGTAAATGTTATTTAATTGAATTGTTAAAATAATTCAAAAATTAATAATTACAAAAGCATTCCCCTAATTTTCTACCCGATTAATTTGGTTAAAAGTCGGATAGAAATACTACACTTGATCGGATAAGATAAGCCAATAAATTTTTTTTTCCACAAAATATCGGATAGNTTACTTTTTAGTGTTTTTGATTTTTTGTGGTGATAAATTAGTAAATGTTATTTAATTAAATTGTTAAAATAATTCAAAAATTAATAATTACAAAAGCATTCTCCTAATTTTCTACCCGATTAATTTGGTTAAAAGTCGGATAGAAATATTACACTTGATCGGATAAGATAAGCCAATAAATTTTTTTTTCCACAAAATATCGGATAGAAAAATAAAAGACCATATTTCCAACACATAGGGTATGGTGAAAACTCCTAGACATTAGCCTCGTTACTTTTAGTTTTGGGGCAAGTCACTGGAATTAGACTCATTGCTTCATGATTATTTTTGTGTGCATGCGAGCCCATGAAAACGATAATGTTTTGGCATTTCGAAACGAAATTTACATCTTGGTAATTTGAACAAACATATAGACTACTAGTTTACTGGGATCATCAACAGAGATCAATGAAAATAAGAGCATATACTATGGTAAACATAGATAACACATATACTATACCAAAATGAAAAACAAAAACAAGAAACTAAAAAATCAGTGAGGGGTATAAGAAAATATACTCCTTTCTAGTTGTATTCTCTTTTCAGCTCACTGGGCTTCTCTCTCGTCATCTTCTCTGGAGCGTACCAAAGAACTTGAAGCTGATGCCATGTTCAGGGCCTGTCCATGTGTGAACCTTTGTAACTGTATCATACGCGCATAACACCCATCCGGGTAGTTTTTCAGTATATGTGAGTGGGAACCTTGTTCTGCTACTTTCCCGTCGTCTATCACAGCAATGACATGGGCATTTCTTATTGTTGATAGCCGGTGTGCCACCACAATTGTGGTCTTTCCGGAGCAAGCACGCTCCAGAGCCTCTTGTACAGACCTTTCGGACTCTGCATCAAGTGCACTTGTAGCTTCATCTAGTAGCATTAGCTCTGCCTTTCGTATAAAAGCCCGAGCAAGGGCGATTCTTTGCTTCTGTCCTCCGGACAGTTGAACTCCCCTCTCCCCTACAAAAGTTTTGTACCCATCGGGAAATGATGATATGAACTTGTGCGCGTTTGCCAGAGTTGCTGCTTCAATTATCTCAGCTTCAGTTGTTGATTCATGCCCATAAGCAATGTTTTCATATATGGTTGTAGCAAAGAGGCATGGCTCCTGGGGCACCAATGCAATGTGGTGCCTCAGAGACTTCAGGTTGTATTTTCGGATGTCTTTCCCATCAATCATTACTCTTCCAGATGATGGCTCGTAGAATCGTTGTATTAGTGCAATGGTTGAACTCTTACCACACCCACTAGGACCGACGAGGGCAAGAGTTTTTCCAGCTCGGGCACGAAGAGTGAGGTCACGGAAGATTGGCACATCTGGACGAGAGGGATAAGAAAAATCTACATGCTTGAATTCCACTTCCCCACGAAGGCAATCAGGAACAGGGGTAGCATCCGGATCATCAGGATCAATTTCAGTTTTTCTGTCAAGGAGGTCAAACACTGACCGCATTGCTCGGCCACCCTTTATGAACTCAGGGGCTAGGGTCAGTGTTTCAGCTGCACCATTGGCGGACACCATGAGGACCATGAAGACACGGATTGTCTTAGAGAAGTCTGAAATCCCATGTTTCACGAGCCAGGATGCATACCAAAGACCAAGGGCATAGGAAGCATAGAGTAAGAACTGGGCTACCCCGTATCCAATTCCAGCAATCTGTCCCTTCCAGAAGCAACGTCGCAGTGGAATTTGTAGGTTGGAGGTGAATAGGCTGACAATTTGGGATTCTGAGTTGAAGGCAGCAACTGTTCTTACATTTGCCACAGCTTCCCCTGCTAGTAGTGTTCCTTTGGCATGTGCAGCTTCTAGGTCTCCTGAGAATCCTGTCATGAACATTTTCTGTTGAAATTGCAACAAATCCCATCAGTATTGTGTTCTTACAACGCATAATTGCAATTGCATACCGAGGAAAAGGGATATAATTATTCGTTTTATGATTTTTTCCATAGTAGTTTGGCGCTGGTTTCCTAATGATTTCTCGACATGCACATTCTTAGGACTTGGTTGTAGGAAAACAAACCTGCAAAACAGTGGCCGCGACAACCACAGGGAAGACAGCAACGAGGACAAGGGCTAGGCGCCACTGCAAAACAAACCCTGCCGTGCAGGCTACTAGCATGAGAGCTGAGTTCTGCATGATCACTGAGATGCGGTCCCCAATAGCAGACCTCACATTGTTGGCATCAAGAGCCAACCGAGCTGCAATCCTAGAACTTTCATTTTCCTCCTGATCAAACCATGCCATTTCATTTTTCATAATTGCTGCCAGCATTTTCTCTCTCACCCGTTTCGTTAAATTTTCTCCCACAACATCCCAGAAGAAATGCTGCAGTGTGTTGAAAATAAGTGCAGCTGATGAAACACCAATTAGAAGGTAGCAGTATTTTGCAATCTCTCTGCTCATGTAACCATGGTTTGGGTTGTAGTAGACACTAAGGACAGCACTCAGGACATATGCAAAGAAGGCACTAAGAGAGCCACAAACAATGGAGCCAATGGAGCCAACTAAAGCATAGGCCCATTCAGGAGAGTTCATTTTTGCAAGGCGCCAGAAGGAACTGGCTTGCTCCTTGAATGCAAGTTTTTCATGCCGATAATTGGGGTATGCAGCATCCAGGGAGAGACTGAAGTCAGAAGTAGAGAAGTCAGATAGCCGGCGTGAGAATGGTGATCGGCCATAGGAGGAGTTTCGGGCAATTATTGGTGAGCTTACTGAGTTCCTTGCACTAGAAGGTCTGCAAAGGTAGAACCATATTGGCAACAAATTGTCAGCTGACTAGATACCTCTACCTACTCAGCATTTTATGATTTTTAAGGAAAACCGACTTTAATATTATGTTTCAAATTGGATGTTTCTAAGGTCTAAAAAGCTACCTTGCACTGCTCTTTCTGGCATTATTAAGAGCAGTTTCATGGGCCATTTCCTGCATTCGTATAAGCTTGGCATAGACACCGTTGTCTCCTTTTCTCATGAGCTCCTCGTGCATTCCAATTTCAGAGACGCTACCCTGCTGCAGCACAGCAACAAGATCTGCCTTCTGGATAGTGGAGAGGCGGTGAGCAATGACAAGAGTTGTCCTCCCAATCATGAAGCGATCAAGTGCCTCCTGTACTAGCTTTTCTGATTCAGAATCTAATGCACTTGTTGCTTCATCTAAAAGCAAAATTGCTGGGTTTTTCAGCATTGCTCTTGCTATAGCTATTCTTTGCTTCTGTCCACCTGAGAGTTGCAATCCTCGCTCCCCTACCTGCCATTTAAAAGAAGTATTTCACTTCTCTGGTTTTCTACATTTGTATCTCTAACAAGTGGTTTCTCCAAAAAAATCCACTCACAGTGTATGATTCTGTAGAAAACACTGGAAAGGGAATGAAAATTTGAATTCTTATAAAATAGTTGGCCTGAAACAAAAACCCAAGTTTTTTTTTTCCTTTGAAAGATTACTTGGCAGGCAAACAATGCATGAATTGTTCTCTACTCAGCCAAGATGGTTGTTAAAAGCTCGAGGCTTAACAAAAAATATATCATACTTCGGTTTGAAATACGCTACAAGGAGGAGATCTACCTCTTTCACAAAATTACTTTGGTTGGAGATTGAATTTTAATTCAGTATTATGTGTTTGATCCTCTATGTTAATATGAGAGTCCTCGTCTGCCTAATGTGAGGCCCATCAAATCTCAAGCACTCTTTTTTTTTTGGTTTTTTTTTTTTT